CTTGTCTGTCTCTTGTCTTGTCTCACTATACTAATTAATGTGAAAAGCTCACTCTGAATGATCCGCCAAGAATCTTGCATATCATATGCTCATCGGATCAACTTGCCAATAACAACAATGTTCATGTTCATTGTGTCTCTGGAGGTCTTCCTGCCCGGTTGGAAAGCATGCTAAATGATACCTTCACATGAGCAGCTAAATGTTAGCGTAGCAGTTAAATGCGTTGCCCAGCAGCATGTACGGCCACACAGCTCGTTCTTCATGTGATTTGCAGAGCTATTTGTTGAGTCATGTCATCCTTCCTTCCTCCGCCACCAGGGCTCTGTCGGACAATAAGCTTACTGGATCTATTCCAGCGGGACTGGGAAGCCTCATCGCACTACAAGAATTGTAGGCTATGTTACTAGGCTGTTGTTGTGGACTCGTATTGCTTGTATGGAATGCTACTGTCTGAAAGTAGAGGCTATATGTTTTCATCAAACTGATTTTCCGAAGCAATTGGGCAAATGGAAATTCATACGAGGCAGAATGACACCCATTGCATCCCCTTGTCCACCCTAGCATCCTCCTAGTCACATCTCGTCCATGTTCTCCCCGTTTGCTCCTCTTCTTTAGCCTGTTTGACCCACTTTATCCCTCACAGCCAGCGGCAAATTCTGTGCTGATTTTCCCAGTGTCTCCCTTGCTCATTCTCTAGTGCCCCACAAAACGTTTTCCAACCATCCTTATAACGTCTCACCACCCACTGGGTCAAAACAAGGGTTATCTTTGAGGCGCAGTGGAGGCACTCAACCCTTACGCGTGATTCCTGCTGGAACTCAGTTCTTGCCTGATCACACTTTTGGGTCGCTTGTGCGTGCTTGCAGTCCCTTTAGCCATGCTTAAAGATCTCATCTCTTCACTTCTACCAACCAACCTACCCACACACACAGGCTTCTCTCGAACAACGCTTTGACGTTCTCCATTCCCGACAACTTCTCCTCGCTTGTTAATCTCAATTTTATGTACGAAGCACCTTGTCTGTTGTGAATGCCTCGTGTAGGCCTCGTGGTAAGCATGAGAGGAGTGGTAACCACCTTGAACGGGCTGCATGAAGACTTCAAATTGCGTTCAAAGGGATGGTTGTGTTGCCAGCTACAACACCCCATGTCTAGTTTCTGCAACCAAAATGACCATTGATTGGTTCTATTCATTTCCAAGTTCATTGATTGACCAGCATTTGGTACGCTTGGCCCTCCCTCCCTCTTCATTCTCCTTCTCCTTCATCCCGGGCCGTTGTTTTCATCGTCTGTCGGGCAGATAGATGGGAATCACTTGAATGGAACCATTTTGCCCTCTCTAGGGACACTCAGCCTGCAGTGCCTGGAAGTATCATGGCAGCAATCATTGAATATCCCAGCCATGATTGGCTTTGGGGTTGAAAAGATTGAAAGAACCGTATGGCTGATTGCACTACCAGATCAGCCCTGTTCCATCAATATCGCTTGTGTGTGCTTGTTGACCCTCTGGCCATGCCCACAAGTCTCATTTTTCTCTTCTACTGACCTTCCTTCTTTTGCACACAGAGATATCTCGAACAATGCTTTGACGGGCTCCATTCCGAACTATTTGTGCTCGTGTGGTGATGTCGAATACACCTTTTATCTGTATGAAGCTCCTTGTCGGTTGTCTATACCTGAATACGAGGCAACTGGTTCATGTATCGTGCTACGCATGAGAGGAGGGGTAAGGACCTTGAGTGGGCTGCTTAGGAACGTCAACTTGCATTTTAAGGGATGGTTGTGTTGCCGGCCACAACGCCCCATGCCACGGTTGTTTCTGTAACCAAAAGGACCATTGATTGCTTCTGTTCATTTCTAGGTTAAAAATGCACTCCATTGCAATGATTGGGACACACGATCCTCCCTCCCTCTCCTTCATTTTCCTTCTCCTTCATCCTAGGCTGTTGTTCTTTATCGTCTGTCAGGCATGTAGATTTGAATCACTTGAATGAAATAATTATGCCCTCTTTTGGGGCCTTACTCAGCTTGCAGTGCTTGAAAATATAGTGGTAACAATCTCTGGATATCCCAGCCATGAGTGGCTTTGAGGTTGACAACATTGAAAGAGTTGTATAGCTAGTTTCACCACCTAATCAGCTCTGTTTCATCAATATCGCTCGAGCGTGCTTGCTGTCCCTCTGGCCATGCCCGCGAACCTCACCTCTTCACTTCTACCGACCTACCTACCCACACACATAGAAATCTCTCAAGAAATGCTTTGACGGGCTCCATTCCCAGCAACACCTTCTCACATTTTGATCTCCGTTATCTGTACGAAGCACCTCGTCTGTTGTCTATGCCTCAATTCGACCCAATTGTTGAGATTAAGTTTGTGGGAGCCATGGCTGGTGAGAGAAGAGGCGAGAGAAAAGTTGCATTGAACAGACGTGTGTACAAAGTGAAAGAACTGGTTGGGCAAAAACCCAACTAAACGTAGAGTGCTTTCAACGTAGGAACCGACTGCAAAATGAACCTAAACTGAACCAGAAATGAAATTTGGCCGAAATGGTAATATACCTTAGTTGTCGAGCACGTTCGAGACGAGCCGAACAGTTTTTTTTTGTTTTTTGCCGAAGCTGCTCGTGGCGAACATGTTCACTGTTCATTCCGTTGTAGCTAGCCGAGCCGTGACGAACACGAACATGTTCGTGCTCCTTTGTGTTCGTCGGAAAGGTCCTGCGACACATTTTTAGGTTGATATTGGAGCACATTCTTGAGCTCGATTATAGCTACACACCACGTAACAGGCTAGTAAAGACACACTGGCAGCAATACTACCTTCAACACTCTTTAAATAGGTTGGCGCTAGGCATGAGCAGAAAACCAAACTGCGGTAAGTTTGGTTCGGTTTGGTTCGTTTTTTGCCAAACCGTATCGTTGTTTTTGCTTCTGTTTCGTCAATGAACCGAACCGGTTCATGCGGTTCGTTCTCGCCAAACTTCCGAGGCGCGACATACCAACCTTGGTCATGCAAGTTCGAATATAACCCAAAAAACAAAGAGTTGGATCTGATTTCAAGCTTTGACTCTTTACGAATTTCCCCTTCCACTTAATATTTCTGTGTCTCCTATGGTTCTTTTTTAGTTTTCAGCTGGTGTGACCACATTTGAACAGGGAAAATAAACCGCTCAGGTTCGGTACCGAATTGGGCCGGTTCGACCGAATCGGTTCGGTTTGAACTACGAACCACGAACCGGTTCGGTTCGGTAGTGAACCCGTTTGGTTTCTATGGTATAAGAACGAACCGGTTCGGTTCGGTACCGTGCTTGCAATCAATTTTTAGTAATCTACAGAGACTTTGGGTAGTTGATATTAGGGTTTACAGTGTTTCTAAGGAAACACCTGCGCTGGCCATTGAATTTGGGTTCCTTAAGAGCTTCTCTCGAAAAGATTCGCCGCACTACCATACATTTTGTAAGAAATCCAAATTGATCAGCGAGGTGAACGGCCATCGGCGGGCAGGTTAGCTGGAAATTGTGATGTGTGACTATCATGAGGGCTTCTGATTAGGCGAGCAAGAACATGTTCTTGGTAAACATGCTCATGCTTGGGCAAACACCATTAGTTTACACCCCCAGCTGCGAACAGGCGAACATTTATTATGTAAAAAGTGTTCGTGGCGAACCGAACATGTGGTGTTCGCCCCTTGCTCAGGTCTAATTTACCCTTTTCCAGGTCGGGTATACATAAACTTACTCGCAATTGTACGTTTACGTTTCTGCGCTTGTAAAATTTTGTAAACTCGGCCTTTCAGGCCAGAAAAATCCTGAAATCGAAGAAATTTCAGACGACGACCCCAGTTTGACCTAACGCGGGTTGAGCGCGGAGCCTTGCGAATTTTTTCGTAAATGCTCGCATGCTCTCCAATTCGATAACGGGCTCAAACGGTCCGGACCGTGAGCGGGATACCCTTTTCGCACGCCGTCCGTACCGCGTGGTTCGGAAAAAAGTTACACGCCCTTAGTATGACGACCCTCACTTACAAACTCGTCATCTATACCAGACATTCGATCTACTCATGATTTGTATCTACCACTCATCTAAAAATTGATAGTAACTAGATTGAAGAACTTGTGTGCGGAACCCTGCATTTTTTGGACCCTAGCTTGTTGCGACGGGCAGTGTGAACCGATTCCCACACTGCCCAGTTGCGCTCAGACGAGGCGGCTGACAGAGGCTATGTGAGGACACGGCACACAAGCCTGGACAGCTTGGGCTTGTAAGTCCCGTGCACCATCGAATGCTTTCCAGCCCTCATGGCCTCCCTTTTTGCAATGGCCTCAAGAAGGCCGAAGGAGCCTTCCAAGTTGACGAAGGCCGTGAGCCCCTCCTGCACCACAAGGGAAATACGCCTCTTCTCACCGTCCTTACATCCGGCCAACCTCATGCAGGGCGCATGCGAGGACTTCATCCCAACGGCGCCTCACAATCCTCTCTATCTCTGCCAATTCCGCCCTGGACAAAGAACCCTCCCCTCCTCTCCTCCTCCAGCTTCTCGTTCATGTCCTCCATGAGCTGAAGCATCATGTCATAAATAAGGCCCATCGTGCCCTTTCACATTGAATCCGTGGCCCTTAGCACCACGAATGAAAGGTGCAAGAGATCCACCAGGTAGGGGTGAGCAAGGGGCGAACACCAGTGTCCGCCGAACCGAACACTGTTCGGTTCGGCGAAAACTTTAATAAAAAAAAGGTGTTCGGTGTCTGCCTGTGAGGGCGAACACCTTGCTGCCACAGGCGAACACGAACATGTTCGTGGCAAACACGTTCGTGTTCGCTCATGGGGCATGTTCAACATAGTCATATTCGTTCAAGAGGTGGGCCCTGCATAATGAACAGTGGGGAGCGTTGTGGATGTTTACGTGTCCATGCAATGTGCCAAATCCAAATACAACACTATCCCCTCAACAACACTACTATAGTATCAGTTCAAGCTACAGCCTAATCACACAACTTGCTACTACGCCATGGACCCACTTCCTCCAACCTCATCATCCCCGCCCCTCTCTGCGTCTGCCTCCACATGCTCCTCCTCCTCCTCCTCCTCCTCCTCCTCCTCCTCCTCCTCCTCCTCCTCCTCCTCCTCCACATCCACCCCTTCGCCCTCAATGGCGAACTCGGGCTCTGCAACTCCTCTCCCACGCCGGCCCTCGCCGATCCTCTGGCCAGGGTGTGAACTGTACCATGACCCGAGAATCGTGACAGAGCGCGTCCTCTCAGAGGCCAGGCTGTGCCGCTTCCATGAGATGAGGTTGCGGCCAAGAGAGAAGACCCGCTCGCTTGCAGCGGACGTCGCAGGGATGGTAAGATAATCTCTTGCCATGTGTCTCAGCGTCTGCATGTTGGTGGCTGTGCGCCAGTACTCTAGCGCTGTCACATCCGGCCGCACCCGCTCGGACAAGTACCTGCTAACCTCGTCATCCGGCACCAACCCCCCCCCCCCCGCCCCCCCCCCCCCCCCCCCCCCCCCCCCGCCGCCTGGCTCGCCGATAGACGTGCCACAAGTTGCCGGCGACTAGGAAGATACTGCGCGTCCTCGTCATCCCCCTCCTCCCCCTCATCCTCCTCCCTGACGGTGGCAAGCGTAGTCGGCCGGGGAGCAAGCTTTGCAGCCCGGGCCTGGTACTCGGCGACACGCTCTCGTACCAGCGTGATCACCTCCCCGGACGATGGACGCGGCCTCTCCCTCCTCTCCGTCTTAGGATGCTGCTTCTCCCAGTGTGCGTCATCGAACCACGCCGCTTTCGTGGAGGGATCCAGGAAGGTGGTGATCCAGTACTCGTTGCTGGTCATGTAGGCGTACTTCTTGAGATAGCCAAGCGCCGCCACGACAATCGGCCTCAACGTCGCAGACGGCCCCTTGGCCAGACGCGCCTCCATGGCGTCGATCAAACCGTTGTATTACGGCACCACCATCGACACCGTCGGATACGCCGCCCCTTCAGCGGCCTTTGAAACCTTGGCGAAGGGGCTGAGGAAGGTCTTCACCGCCTGCAACCTCTCCCAGTCCGCGTCTGTGAGGCGCATCTTCTTTACCTTCTTCTTGTCGTCCTTCGACAGACCCTGTCAGTGTGCAGGATTGGTATGGTATGGTTTGGGAGAGTGTACATTGGACTCATGGGTTAGGGAGCATTTTGGGTTCATGCAACATACAAGCTTGAAGAAAAGAGTTGATCAACCATTTGAACACACCCTGACTGATCTGATCTGAACAACCAACAATGCACACAACTGTCATACCTGGGAAGAGGCAAAGTACACTGTGATGGGGTTCTGCAGTTCACAGGTGCGGTCGACCATGTCGTACGTGGACCTCCACCTAGTGGGACTGTCCTGCACCAGCTTTAGTGGCTTCTTGATGATGTGTGCCTGTGTGTTCAAGGTCCGCTGAAGGCCCAAGAAAGCCGCCGAGCGCTGCGGTGACAATCCTATCCACGTGGCCATGGCTCTCAGGATCCTCAACAGCCTGCGGATGGTCTTCACAGCCAGCGCTGCCTGCACTGCAAGTTTGATCACGTGTGCCAAGCACCTGCGAGTGGCACACAGCAGCAATTGCAATAGATGGGGTATGGTGCATGGCACTGGGGGAGGTGAGGTGGCAAGGTGCATGGCATTGGGGAAGGGGAGGTGACATGGTCCTTGGCATGGGAGAGGCAGCATGGTGTATGGCATTGGGTAGGGAGGTGGCATGGTGCATGGCATGGGGGAGGTGGCATGGTGCATGGCTTTGGCGGAGGTGGCATGATACACAGTGTCGTAGGTGCAGGGTCTCGACCACACACCGACCCAATGCAAACTCCCACACTTACCGGAAGTGCATGCTAGTGTTGAAGAAGCATAAACCACCCCCCTCCTCCGACAACCGCCTGAATGCGGCAATGTTGCTAGAGGCGTTGTCGGTCGTGAGACCAAGACAACGCCCCTGCAACCTCCACTGCACCACCATCTCCTCCACCACCTGCGCCATCTCCTCGCCGGTATGACGCCGAAGCATCTCGCGGAATTCTAGCACGGCTGTGCGCAGCTGAAAGGTCTCGTCGATCCAGCGACCCGTCACTACAAGCCATGCCTTGCCGCTGGGTGCCGTCCACATGTCAATGGTGAACGACGCCTTGCATTCCAACTCCCCCTCCTTCGCCATCAGCTCTGCAACGGCGGCCTGAAGGTAGACATGAGCAAATTCCCGAACCCCTGTTCGGTTCGAGTCGAACGTGTTCGACTCGAACCGAACAGGGGTTTTTTTTTACCCAAAAATGTTCGTGACGAACACCTAGGTGTTCGTCACGAACATGTTCGAGTGTTCGTTGCGGTTCGTGCAAAAAAATGCACGAACACCTAGGTGTTCGCGAACACTTTGTGTTCGCGGGCGAACACCGAGGTGTTCGTGAACACAAAGTGTTCGCGGGCGAACACCGAGGTGTTCGTCGAAATCCAGCGCGTCAAAAATTGACGCGCTGGTTGGATCTAAAAGGGGAAAGTGACGATTGAGCTCATTCTTGGGCTCAATCGTCAATTTCCAGTTAGGATAGCATTCCGCCCACTACCCATTTAAACTGCACCACTCCCACGGTTTAAAGTCCACATTGAGGCTAGAAACGTTAAGTATAAGGGTAGATTAGGTTAGGAAACGTTTAAAAACAGAAATCAAGAGCATTTCGTTTTAGCAAAGAGTTTAGCAAGGCGGATGGATTCAGAAATGGTTGATGTAGGGTTGGTTAGCAGCCAAGACAAGGCTATTCCTGGCCCATCCGCACTACTAGATACTGCAACTGGGACCGCAAGCCCTCTCGCACCTCTCGAGCTCATAGGGGGGCAATACCTAGGAGTCCCCACGTCACCAAAAAGCTACAGGTTTAGTGGCGGGGGGCTGGCTGCACCCTCACATCGGTATGGGAAGTCTCGTGATGAGATCGAAGAGATTTCAGAGGAGGCCGAGGAGGATGCGGAAGGGGGGGGGGGGGGGAGGTCAGGGGTGGTGGGGGGGGGGGGGAGCCAAAGGGATTGGCTGGAGAGTGGCGGCTGGAAAAGAAGCGACCACGCATCCAACGTAGTCCATCCGATAGCACCGACAAGGATTATGATCCGAAGAAAGATGGGGATTGCGCGGGGTTGAGGGATGACGACGAGGAGGAGGAGGAGAAGGGTGAGGAGGAGGAGGAGGAGGAGGAGGAGGAGGAGGAGGAGGAGGAGGAGGTGGAGGAGGGGGAGGGAGATGGTAGTGGTGAGGAGGCTGAGGAGGAGGAGGAGGAGGAGGGGGTGTCCCAGCTGGGGAAGGCTAAGAGGAAGGCCAAGGGGAAGGCCAAGGGGAAGGCCAAGGGGAAGGCCAAGGGGAAGGCCAAAGGCAAGGGGAACGGGAAGATAAAGGGCAAGGGTAAAGGCATAGAAGTTCAGGAGGAGGGGGGGGGAGAGGATGGTATGGCCGCGTCGGTAGATGAGAATGATGGGCCTTTAAAGGCCACGAAAGGGTGTAAGAAGGCCCCAGGTTGGCAGGTCCAGATGTTCGGGCCATTGGGGGCGGATGAGAAGCGCAAGTGTAAGATGTGCGATACCCGTATCAGTTGGTCGACGGGCACTACGACTCCAGGGGTGCGCCACATGGTTGCGAAGCACACGGCGCACCACGACATTTGGCAGTATAGGTCCCTAAGACCACACCTACTGACTAAGGGGGAGACTTTCCCGGAGGGTGGCTACGATGAAGTTCCCGACAGGAAGGTGGTGAATTGGCCACACGTGGCCTCGTGGCCCAAGTTGCCGGTGGTGCAGACCCCGAGCGCGAAGGGTGAGGCAGGCGGCATTGAGCGAGTAAGCTGAAGCTTCGTGCGGCGATCACGAAGCTTGTGGTGACCGGCGACTTGCCCTTTCGCATCGTCGAGCTGGATGCGGTGAGAAAGCGTTCACCCCCCCTCCTATTTGTTGTGCTTTGATGGATTGAGATTGCTGGCCGCACGTGCTACTTCATTGCAGTACAGCCAGCCATCATGGCATCATGAATTGATGTCCACCTTATTCGCCCCTCCTCGTGCTTGTATATATAACACCAGTTCAAGGAGCTGCTGATCGTGCTGAACGAAAAGTGTGGGGAAAAGGGCGTTATCCTATCACGCTGGACGATGGCGCGCGACACCGTTGTCCTTGCTGACTTGGCGCTCGAGGCAGCGATTGCAGAGCTGGCCTCTACAACCTGTGCCGTGTCGTACAGCACCGACACGTGGACAGGCCCGAACGGCAAGGCCTACATGGTGCTGACAGGTCACTTCGTGTCAGTGCAGTGGGAGTTGCGCCAGGTGATTCTTGCTTTCGTCGAGATGCCTGGCAGGCATGGGGGGAATGAAATTGCTAAGGCGGTGGAGAAGGTGGTGGTGCAGTGGAAGTTGCAGACGTGTTGCCTCGGTCTCACGACCGACAATGCGTCTGCAAACGTAGTTGCTCTTCGGCACCTGGCGGAGGAGGGTGAATTCTCGGGGTACTTCAGCGAGAAGGCGCACTACAGGTCCGTCTTGTAGCTGGATTCCAAGTTCCTAAACCTGGTCCCTTTTGCTTCTGTCCGCACCATAACACCCTTGTAACCTCGTTCGCCGGTTTGAAACCCTAAACCCCTCCGATCCAACGCAGGTGCCTGTCGCACATTGTGAACCTGGCAGTGCAGTCTGGGTTGGGTGTGGAGTTGATGACGGTGCCCCTGAAGAAGGTGCGGGAGATTACTACGTGGGTGGGCATGTCGCCCCAACGAGGAGCCGCCTTCATTGCGCTGCAGGTTCGGCATGGAGTGCTGCCCAATGGGCCGCACAAGCTCGTTCAGGACAGTCCTACGCGGTGGGGGTCCACACACGAGATGGTTAAGCGCTTCTTGCTGCTGAGGCCCTTCATCGACATGCACTTTGCCCGCGAGCAGGTACGGCTCCATTCGTATCCATTGCAATCTGTGTTGATTGGACGCGTAAGAGCTGTTGCTTTGAAGATTGTCAGAATCCACAACGTTCCAACCGTTCCCCAAGCCTAAGCACATGTACTCAATGTCATCCAACCCAATCTTGCGCCCTCACCTAATCAACAGGGCACCACGAAGGAAGAGAAGGAGAAGTGGCGAGGTTTGCGTGTGACCGATGTCGAGTGGGAGGCCTTGGGGGCTTTGGAGGGGTTTCTCCGTCCCTTTGCCAGAGTCTCCACGGCCGCCGAGGGGTCGACCTACCCCACTGTGTCGATGGTGCTGCCTTACTTCTACGCCCTCATCGACAGCCTGGAGAAGAAGCTGCACACAGGGACGCATGAACTAGTTCGGCCACTCATGTCTGCCGCGCTGGGGCACCTGAAGCAGTACGAGTTTGCCATCGGGGACGAGTACTGGATCGCGACCTTCTTGGATCCGTCCATGAAGGCCAAGTACTTCAGGATGACACACTGGGAGCTGATGCATCCAGGCATAGTGGCACGTGACGGTGGGCGGCTTAAGCCACGTATGAGTGCGGACAGGGTGGTGAGCTTGGTGCGCCGCCGAGTGGAGGAGTACCAAGCTCGAGCAGCACGTGAAGCTCCCACCCCACCACCAGCACCAGCAGCAGCAGTGGTGACACCGTTCGAGGACGACGACGACGAGTTTGTGTTCTCTAGGGCACAGCTGCAGAAGCGTGTTTCAGCTAGCGCAGCAGCGAGAGCGGGGGGAGGGGGGACGTCGGTGGGGGATGAGGTGGATCGGTACTTAGCGGAGCTGCCTGTCTCGGACGTGCCAGCGCTGCAGTACTGGCAGCGTGCGAGGAACATGGACACGTTGAGGCAGATGGCACGGGATTACCTCGCTATCCCCGCCACCTCTGCAGCTAGCGAGCGAGCTTTCTCCATGGGGAGGAACCTCATCTCCTTGCACAGGCACAGGCTGAACACTGAGCGTGTTAGCGCGAGCATGACTCTCAGGTCATGGTACACGTCACACCCTGGGAAGAGTATTGGTGAGGAACCCGGCCGCAGCGGACAGCAGGCACCACCAGAGTTGGCGCTGGAGGGAGAGGGGCTAGATGAGGGGGATGAGGAGGAGGCTGTTGCTGTGGGGGGGGGAACTGGAGTTGAGTGAGGGAGTTGCATGGGGACTTGGTGCTGTCTGGCTTTGTTTTGCATGTCCTTGACTTGTCGTTGCCCTGAACTTTGAGCTGTTGACTTATTTATCCATATTTCACTAGACCATGTGTGCGAGACATTGCGGATCTTCGCTGCTACCTTTATTTACATTCTGATTTTGCTTGTAGAACACACGCCCTGAGTTTCTTACATGCATTGAATGTGATTATAATAGAAAGTACCCCCCATGGCAAACTGTTCGAGTTCGTGGCAAACTGTTCGAGTTCGTGCCAAACACCTTAGTGTTCGGCCATGCCTCAAAACTGTTCGACACTATACTCGAACGGGGAACACTAACATTTACGAAAACTGTTCGTGACAAACGTGTTCGGTTTGGTTCGAGTTGACCAAGTGTTCGTCAACTGTTCGAGTCAAACGTGTTCGGTTCGCTCGTTGCTCATGTCTACCTGGAGGGCAGCCTCAGCAAACACCACTGTGTCGCGTGACACCGTCCAGCGCAATGGGATGAAGTTTTTCTTTGCGCAGTTGGTGTTGAGGAGAACCAACAGCTCTCGAAACTGTAGAGGAAATAGGACAATGACATAAAGAGATGGTTTAGAACGGATGGCAATGTGGTGGAGATGGAGTGGCATGACGGCACCATCAGACTTACATATCTCCCCTCAACATCCTCTTCAAACCCTCCACAGTGTACTGTCCTAAACATGCGCACCATAGCTGGAATGTGGACGGACACTCACCGCCTCGGACTCGACAATGCGGAAGGGAAGGTCGTAGGTGACCACCAGCTTGGCGATTGCCTGCCGAAGGTGCGCGTGAGATAGCTTGATCGTCATGAAGCGCTCGATCACTCTCTTCGTTCTCATCCTCCTCCTCACTGTCACTTTCCGTCCGCGTCTGGCCTGAAGGAGGGGGTCGGGAGCCACTGTACCGGAACGAGTGGCGGGATGTCGGGCCCGGAACGGCCATCAACCCCCCAACAAAACAAGCACCAGCACCAGCGGGCTGTCCCCTACTCGCCCTTGCATGGGTCGTGGGGGTGACGTCGGTGTACCGCTCTCGCGAATCCGAGCACCTTCATGATGACCGGAGGAGGCCATAGATCTACTCCAAACCCTAAAGTCGAGGTAAGATAGTGGTAGAGCTTGAGTGCCGCCAACGCTTGGTATGAATAGCTTGGGAAGATGTCCCGTAAACACTAACCCTAAAAACCTAGGTGTAGTGGCGGATCGAATGCTCAAATGCTTAAGCGCTATGTAAAAAGCCCAACATTCTGGAATTTAAGGCAAAACCATCATAATGCAATGAAGGTCGACGTACTAATCCTAAGAAGATACGTTGAAAGCCTCCGAACGCTAAGGCTAAGGCGCTTAGGCTAGACCAGGGGCGGGCGCCTAGGAAGATGTGAGTTTGAGCTCATAAAATGAGCTCAAACTCTATTTGGTCGCGGCCAATTTCGTCGACGAACACTTTGGTGTTCGTGGAAGTGTCGCGTCGAACACGAACGTGTTCGTGTTTGACGCGACTCGTCCAGCCGGCCCAGACGAACCTCGAACATGTTCGGGCGAACGTCGAACATGTTCGACCCGAACATTTTTGGCCAAAAGAAAAGCCTGTTCGGTTCGCCTCGAACATGTTCGAGGCGAACCGAACAGGCGTTCGTCATTTTGCTCACCCCTACCACCAGGTAAGCCGCCCTCTTCCAGCACTCCTCATCCATGAAATGGGTACGAACGTTTCCCCCGTCTGCTTCCTCGCCCCCTTTGCCCAAGTTCCTCACTCGCCATCTGAACCAACGAGGTTCTCACCTTGCACAGCTGTGAGTTGGGTATGTACAGTGTGCCAAACCTGGTGCCCGCCGGCTTCAGCACCTGCTTCCCCTTTCCGCCCTGCACCGCCCCACTCCTCGGGTACCTGCGGGTGAAGTGGTGGTTGCGGATGAAACTGATGAGATCTACTTCTCGCTCCACAATGCCCCTCACCCACGGCATCTGTCCCACGTCCTCCATGAGGAGGTCGAGCACGTGCGTGGCGCACAGCACATGCTCGGTGTGGGGCCATTTCGCCATGAGCTCCTTGCATGCAGTCCAGTGGTTTGACCCTCTGCCCATGCAAAAGGCTACCACATTTTCCAGCCAGACTTTGTCTATGATGAGTATTGAAGCGATGTAACCACCTGTTTTTTATATCATCTTGCAATCACCAGATTCGGTAATCACGGCACCCAAATTGTTGGTCATAAGAATGTTGGCTTGCAGCCTCTTGTGGTTATCTAGTCATTATATCCAGTACGATTGTCACCCGGAAAAAGTCCTTGCTCGATGCGCATGCGGCATTGCTTAAGGCTAGCCCCTCCCACATAGCGGCGAGTCGGCAGGACGTAACCACTCCCCTCCTTGGAAATTGACATGACCGCGTTGTGGGGACAACGGGTGGTCGGTGTGGTGCTCGGGAAGGCGAAGGCCGGCAAACAGCAAGCAGATGGACTCGTCCACCTCAGTCTTCGCACATGCCGCCCGGCCGCCAAGGAATGCAGTGATGCGCCCTTTTCTCACACCTCCAGCGACGGCGCCGAGCACATTCTCTTCTACTCGCGTCTTCTCCTTGCGATCATTGACCTTCCTCTCGTAATGCGCGCGCACTGCCGCACGCACATTGAACGGCACTTTTGGACACAGGCGAACGTCGCTCTTCTTACTTGGCGAGATTCTGAGCGCATCGAAACGCGCCATCCTTGAACTTGTGGCTGCAATGCTTGCAGACACGGATTACGCCTATGGTGTTGGGGCGGAGGAACTTTCAAGTGCTGGAACACCAGATGCATGCTATTCTCCTCTTGCCATTGTGTCGAATCCGAACCTGACGGAACATTCGGGTCACTCCCGGGAGATGCGACTGGGGTAGAGATTGATAGAGGAAATGGATCAACAAACTAGGAGAACTACGAAAAGAGTAGCAGGAGAGAAGAACTGACTGAGAATGGTCAGAGTTAGGCTGAAGTTATACTTACACTGTGAAGAGCTGGACGTGACTTGTGTTGGAGGCGGCTGAGTTGGGAGTGTGGTAATGTGGGCGTATGTGCGTACATTGTGGCGACACGATGTGGCACATTATGGCTGTGAAAGTGTGGATCTTGAAATGTTGGGATACATGCGCAAATGCATAAACGTGATACGTAAATATTCCTTGGCGTTTTTTCCTTCATAGCGCACGACCCTCCTTCCCTCTTCATCCTCCTCCTCCTTCATCCTGGGCTGTTCTTCTTCATCGTCTATTAGGCATGTAAATCGGAATTACTTTAATGGAACATTTCCACCGTCTCTAGGGGCCTTACACAGCTTGCAGGGCCTGAATGTATGGTAACACTCTTTGGAAATCCCAGCCATGATTCGCTTTAGGGTTGACAACATTGAACGAACCGAATGGCTAGTTGCACTACCTAATCGGATCTGTTTCATCAATATCATTTCTGTGTGCCCGCTGTCCCTCTAGCCATGCCCACACGTTCCACCTCTTCACTTCTATCAGTCTACCTACCTATATACACAGGGATCTCTCGAACAACGCTTTGACGGGCTCCATTCCCAGCAACATCAATTCACTTTTTAATATTAATTATCTGTATGAGCACCTTGTCTTTTGTCAATGTCTCAATACGAAGCAAAATGTTTTGACTTTGTGTAAAGCATGAGAGGAATGGTAAGCACCTTGAACGGGCTGCACTTCAACTTGCGTTCAAAGGGATGGCTGTGTTGCTAGCAACAACATCCCGTGTTCCTGCTTCTGTAACCAACAGGACCACTTATTATTCTATTCATTTCCAGGGTTGAAGTAAACTCCAATGCAATGATTGGCCAGCATTCGGCACGCTTGAACCTCCATCCCTCTTCATTCATATTCTTCATCCCGGGCTGTAGTTCTTCATCGCTTGTAGATGGGAATCACTTGAATGGATCCAATCCGCTTTCTTTGGGGGTATTACTCAATTATCAATGCCTGAATGTATCATGGCAGCAATCTTTCTTTGGGGTTGACAACATTGAAAGAACCGCATGGTTTCTTGTTGGCCATGGGGTTGACCCTAAACCCTAATCAACCCTGTTTCATCTATTTCGCTTATGTGTGCTTGCTATCCCTCTGGCCATGCCCACAAGTCTCATCTCTTCACTTCTACAGACCAACCTACTTTCACACACAGAGATCTCTCGAACAACAATTTGACGGGCTCCATTCCCAACAGCTTCTCCTCGCTTCCTGAGTTGCAGTATCTCAGTTATCTGTATGAAGCACCTTGTCTATAGTCTATGCCTCAATACAAAGCAACCTGTTAAGACCTCGTGCTAACCACGAGAGGAGTGGTAAGGACTTTTAGGGGGCTGCATAGGAACTCCGACTTTCGTTCAAAAGTATGGTTGTATGGTCGGCCACAACACCCCATGCCATGGGTGTTTCCATTGTTAAAATATACTTCACTACAATAATTGGACATCATTTTTAATCCATGAACATGAACCTCCCACCCTCCACATTCTCCTCTTTCATCACGGGCTGTTGTTCTTCAGCGTTTGTCAGGCACGTAGATTGGAACCAGTTCGCTTCGTTTAAAACCGGAGGTCCAAGAGTTTCAAAGTTAGGAAGGTTGGTTGGGACTTGAAATGCAATTGGAGGGCGAGGAGATGGGTTCCCGAAATTGTACAAAGCTGTTCGCCCGATTTTGGGCGACATTACTGTTACCACAATTGCTGGGCAACACAATCGCCCAAGTCAAAACATCGACACACACATTCTGCGACCTTTTCCCGTTGCCTTCCGGGTTCAGTCTAGGCTTCTACACGCCCATAGCGCAAACAAGTAGAACGTTGGGAGAGTGTGCAGAACCAAATCGAGCTCAGAAACTCACAACATACTCAGCAAGTTCAGCAGATCCTGTCCACCAAGTGAATCGTAATTGCCACTTAGGGATGACGGGCCGAGAGGATAGTGGTCCTCATGCAGGCATCGCCGCCGACTCTGCTGATTACTCGCATCGGTCAGCGCAAGTCGAGAGTGAGTAGGGGGTTCAGCGCGCCGTCACGCTTTTAGGGTTTACCATCCGGTAAAAGGTATGCGCCGGGCTGTTCTTCGTGGAACCGTGAATGCAATGTGCAGTGCGCGCCACCGAGCACTCAAAGCGCGTATTCTATAAGCTTGAGTCTAGGCACACGTTGGAAGGCGGTGTGAGATTTCAGCCTCCGGCTGGGCATGAGCAGTTCCCTGCATGCATCTTGTTGTCAGTTTCCACCGACCACTTTAGAAATACAAATACGGAAGGTATGTGTCCACGGGCCCAATGGAAGCTGGCGCCATTACGCCTGCGTGCTTAGCCCTCCTTGCTCACGACAGTCAGCAGCGGCCCCTGCTCGATCAGGAAAGTAGGTGAAAGATAGTGCAGAGGGGGGAAGATTGGTTGAGTGGAGGGGGAAAGAAAGTGAGCAGGGAGGAAATGGGATAATTGAAGGGGGGAAGGGGGTGAGCAGGGGGGAAACGGGGTAAGTGAAGGGGAAAAGCGAGTGCAGAGGGGGGAACTGGGGTGAGTGAAGGGAAAAAGAGTGCAGAGGGGGGAAATGGGGTGAGTGAAGGGGGAAAGAGAATGAGCAGTGGGGAAATGGGGTGAGTGAAGGGGGAAAGAGAGTGAGCAAGGAGGAAACGGGGTGAGTGACACGGGAAGAGAGTGAGCAGGGCGGAAATGGGATGATTGGAGGGGGAAAAGACGTGAGCGGGGGGGAAATGGGGTGAGTGAAGGAGAAAAAGTGAGCAAGCAGGGAGGAAATGGGATATTTGAAGGGGGAAAGGGAGTGAGCAAGGGGGAATGGGGTGAGTGAAGGGGAAAAGAGAGTGAGCAGGGGGGAAAAGTGGTGAGTGAAGGGGGAAAGAGAGTGCAGAGGCGGGAAATATGGTGAGTGAAGGCCATTGAGCGTGAGGAGGGAGGAGATGGCTTGTTTGAAGGGGGGAAGGGGTGCGCGGGGGGGAAATAGGGTGAGTGAAGGGGGAAGAGTGTGAGCAGGGGGGAAATGGGATGGGTGAAGGGCCCAGGAGTGTGAGCCGGGGGAAATGGTATCATTGAAGGGCGGAAGACGTTAGAGCAGGGACTCATGGGACTTAGGAAGGGGGAGAGAGAGAGGGAGCGAGGAAATGGGCTGAATCAAGGGGGAAAGAGAGTGAGCAGCGGGTAATGGGGTGAATCAAGGGGGAAAGAGAGAGAGCAGCGGGAAATGGGATGCGTGAAGGGGAGTGGAGTGTCAGAATGTGATGTTTGTGTAGCCTGCAGTGGGGTACTCTATAGCGAGTATAGCCCGAATTAGGGTTTGCTATATGTACTCAACTGCATGCTAGTGAAAGCCCTCTTTCCTGTTTCTAGTATCTGCCTAGCATTTCCGACATGCTATCAGAGCAGGTCGACCCTCCTGGGTCGATCCTGTGGGTGGGCCCCACCCGATGCTTCCGCTGCTCTACTGCCTGTAGCGCGCCCCGGGCGCGCGCCGTTTTCTTCCTGCCGTGCGCTCGGAGTGCGCAGCGTTTTTTCTTCCCACTGCGCGCTCGGGGCGCGCGGCGGTTTTCTGCCCTGCCCGCCGCGCGCCCCGGGAGCGCGCGGCGGTTTCCTGCTCCGGTGACCCGCGCGTCGCCCCCCGTCGCCCGACGCGGCCCGCGCGACATGCGCCAGGCCCGCGCGCGGCCCGTACGGGCTGCGCCAGGCCTGCGCGCGACCCGTACGGGCTGCGTCAGGCCCGCGCGCGGCCTGTACAGCCCGCGCGCGGCCCGTACAGCCTGCGCCAGGCCCGCGCGCGGCCCGAACGGGCTGCGCCAGGCCCGCACGCGGCTCGGGCAGCCCGCGCGCGGTTCGTCCGGCCCTGTGCCAGGCCCGTGAGCGGCCCGTACCGTCTGCCCCTGTGCCGCACGCCGTCCCCCGAGCTTCTGACTGCGCCCCACCCCCGCTGCTGCCCGCGCTCCTGTGTTAGGGTTTGGGGGTGGAGAGTATGGGGGTGCCGTGTGTATGAGCCGTCCCCTGCTCCTCCTCCTCCTCCGTTTCCAACTGCTGCAGCTGCCGCTGAGGGGGGTGGATGTGTTGGAGCCGTCGGAGTGGTTCGAGGGGGGTGGCGTGTGAGCGGTGCTAGTGGTTCAGTAGGGAGTGTGTGAAAGGAGTGTGGGATAGTTTGGGGAGGTTGACCGGGGGCAGTCGTCTTGTCGTCCGCAGCGCCTGAAGTCCAGAGAGCCACGACCCCCTGTGGCCTGAGTAGTCCGGGGCTCTGCGCCCGGTAGCCACAGTGTGAGCACTCCTGGTAGTCCAGAGAGCCACGACCCCCTGTGGCCTGAGTAGTCCGGGGCTCTGCGCCCGGTAGCCACAGTGTGAGCAGTCGTGGGAGCACAGAGAGCCAGCTGCGCCTGTCGCCATGTAGTCCGGGTTTAGCCTGGTAGCGACAGTTCTGCGCACTCCTGTTGCCCGTGTGTCTGCAGCTTCAGCCGTCGTCTCGCATCTCCTCGCCCCCACAGTTTCTCCTCCTCCTCACTTGCTCTCTGTGATAGCCTCTAGCTTTGCTTATAATTGTGAACTACTGCTCTGCCTGCTTGTTGTGTTAATTGTACCCCACTTTGGCTATGGGGGTGTGTCAGAATGTGATGTTTGTGTAGCCGCAGTGGGGTACTCTATAGCGAGTACAGCCCGAATTAGGGTTTGCTATATGTACTCAACTGCATGCTAGTGAAAGCCCTCTTTCCTGTTTCTGATTCCTGCCTCTTAATTTTGACATGGAGGGCGCTGAGGAAGGGAATGTGGGTGTGCTGACAACAGGGAATGTGCGTGGGGAAGGGGATGTGCGCGCAACGGGAAAGGGAATTTGCTCGCGCTAAGGAAGGGAAAGTGCGCGCCTGGGAAGGGAATTTGCTCGCGCTAAGGAAAGGAAAGTGCTCGTGTGAATGGCATGTGCGCGCGCTGGGGAAGGGACTGTTTGCGCGTGGGCGGAGGGCAGGTGCGCGCACTGCTGAAGGGAATGTGCGCGCACTGGGGAAGGGCATGTGCGCACGCGGGGGGAGGGCATGTGTGGGCGCTTAGGAAGGGAATATCTGGGTCCTGCGGGCAGGAATGTCCATGCGCTACGGAAAGAAATGACTGGGCGCTGCGGAACGGAATATCTGGGCGCTGCGAAAAGGAATGTCTGGGCGCTGCTGCGGAAAGGAATATCTGGGCGCTGCGGAAAGGAATGTCTGGTCGCACCGTCAGGGTCGCTGGGGAACGAAGTATGATGGTGACGCAGACCTGAAATGGCATGGCGACGGGCTGGAATCGAGAGGGCGGCGCGGAGGGACTCTAAGTGGGGTGGGAGAAGATTATAGCTTAGAAGATTAGCTTAGATTATAGCTAAGGAATATCTGCGGCCAAAGTTTTCCTCCCAGGAGCCCTGCTGCGCCCCGATGGCACGGAACCTCTTAGCACATCACACCCAACCACCTGCACCGTCTGCCCCACTGCTGCCCTCACGTACCAAGCCTACCCCTCACTGGAGCCGAGCACCAACCGCTACAAGAAGCTGCAGAAAGTCTACATCATGCTAACTTACGAAGGGATCAACGGTGAAAACAACACCCTCACCTTCGTGGACGCGTACTCACGCTACGTCTGGATCACCAACGTCGATGCCCGCTCCAAGGCTCCTGAAATCTTTCGCATCTGGCTCGCACACGCGCAACGGGAATCAGGAAAGAAGCTGAAAATCTGGCAGACAAACAGCACTAAGGAATTTCGCAGTAATGAGTTGGAAAGGCTTCTCACAGAGAAGGGGATTAAGCACCAAATCTCACTCCCCTACGCCCACCAGCAGCAAGGTGTCGCAGAGAGGGTTAACCGCACCGCACCCTCATGACAAAGGTCCGCGCCCTCATGCACCAGTCCGGCCTACCCAAGAAGTATTGCCCTCTCCCCGCACATGAAGTGGACAGCGACAAAGGGAGACACCTCCATGCTGAGGGTTTGGGGGTGCATGGTGCAGTACCGGCCGACATCCGCCACAATTGGGAAATTCACCCAGCGCGCACGATGGGGAGTTCACTTGGGGCTCAGCTACGAGTACAAAGGGTGGCTGGTTCTGGACATTGACACCAACAAGGTCGTACCTGCGCGCGACATCCTCTTCTACGAGCGACTCACCCTAGAGCAGTGGATTGAGGATCGGCGCAGCAACGTCGGACAAGCCCACGCCAACAGCAGGCGCAGCTTTGCCTCTTCGGAAGATGAGGCAGCAGCAGCGCCATGGCATCGATTTCGACCAAACCTTCGCCCCCATCAGCCGCTATACCTCTGTCAGGATCCTACTCGCCATCGCTGCCGCTAAGCATCTACCACTACGGCAGATCAACGTCAAGAACGCATTTTTATACGCGCTGGTGGATGCAACCATCTTTGTGGAGCAGCCACACACCTACGGGGAAGGAGATCCCAGAGTCTGCCAGCTGAAGAAATCCTTTTACAGGATAAAGCAGGCGCCGCGTCTCTGGCAGCAGCACATGCACAAAATTCTCCTGGAGATTGGCTTCAGGCAGTTGCCGCACGATCCACCTGACTCCTCTTCAACGGCGATTACATCCTCTTGACAGTTTACGTTGACGACCTGCTTTATACCGGAACCTGCAACAAGCTCCTCAATCAATTCGAGGAAAATATGGCGCAGCGCGTTATCATCACCATCAACCACAACGTCATGCAGTTTCTGGGGCTGAACATCACTTATGCGCCAGAAGAAATTCACCTGTCAGCCTCCAAGTAAGCAGAGAAGGTGGGAGAACGCTTCAAAATTTCACCCACACCACTCTCAACTCCCTACCGCACCCCCAGCACCAGCTACAAACCGGACAACAAACCTCTATCACCCGCATGACTTCAACGATACCAGCAGCAACCCGGATGTCTGCTGTTCGCCTCTGTCACTTGCCGACCCGACCTTTCATACATCGCCAGCCAACTAGCACAGTACTCCCGCAAGCCAGTAGCTGAGAACCAGCTAGACTTGGAGCGCGCCCTACAGTACTTCATCTCCACACCTGACATCGAGCTCTCCTACTCCACGCTGTCGACAACCTGCTTCAACCTCACCGACTACGTGGACGCAGATCATGCCGCTAAATCCTGCAAATCGACAGTCACGAACTGGTTTTGTCTACGGAGCCAACGGGTCCAATCTCCTGGAATTCGCAGAAGCAGGAACTGGTTGCCCTGTCATCCGCTGAAGCAAAATACATCGCCGCGACAACCGCAGTTCGCAAAGGTCTCTACCTGCAAGACCTGCTGCAGGAGGAAAAAATTCCAACTTCGCCCACCTTTCGCTTTCACCGCAACAACCAGAGCGCCATCAAGATCGCGAAAGAACAGGGGGAGACGAGCCACCAAGAGTGAGTGCAAGATCAGAGGTAGTGCGGAGATAGCGGAGAACTCGCTTGGCAGCTGCCCAGTGCACGTCAGTGTGGCGACCAAGGCCAACAAAACGAGAGAGGACACTGAGGGGGTAAGCAAGATCGGGGCGAGTGCACAACATAGCATACATGAGGGAGCCAACGAGCTCAAGATAGGGTCGCAGTTCTGAGGAGGGAGCGGGAACGGCAGGGGCAGTAAGCTAATGGTTAGCGGGAAGAGGAGTGGAAACTGGCTTGGCCTGCGGCATGTCAAAGCGCTCAAGAATGGAGTGGATGTAGAAAGATTGAGAGAGAGAATTGGTGCGTGCAGCACGATCACGACGGATCTCCATGCCGAGGTAATGACGAAGTTTGCCAAGATCCTTGCATAGGAGACGCGCCTGGAGGGCCTGCTTAACAGCGGCAAGGTCGGCAGAACTTTCAGCAAGAAGCACCAAGTCATCGACGTAGGCAAGAATGTAAAGCCTGTGGGGGGAAGCGCGAATGAAGAGACTGGGGTCGGAAGAGGAGGTGGAGAAGCCAAGAGAGTGAAGAGTGGAGGCGAGCTTAGCATGCCACTCACGCGGGGCCTGCTTGAGACCATACACCGGGCGCTTCAGCTCCCAGACAGTGCCTGGAGGGAAGGGGCGAGGAAAGCCAGCGGGGCGCTCAAGGAAAATGCGCTCATGAAGCTCGCCCTGGAGAAAGGCATTGGAG